CATTATGCTTGAAGACATTACCTTAGGTAAGGTTTACCTATGGATGCTAACTGTGAAGCAAGGAGCACAGTGCCTGTGGAATAGCAGGCCGCATACCTTTCTCAGTCTCACCTGAGAAAGTGGCCTGGAAAATCATAAGGAGGAATTAAAGCAATCCTCAGAGATAGAAAATAGCCTTGCAGGTGCTGTTTGTCCGTTTCTTGTTTTCTTGCAAGAGAAGGTCAAGGGGTGGTGTACCCCACTTGCCAATGATGGTGATGTGTTAGTTTACTAACCAGTAAGAGTTTTACTTTTCTGTACTTTCACATATCGGTCTATAAAAGAAGATCTGAGGTAATAAACCTTAAGGTTAAGGGAGAAATTCTCCTGTTTGACTCCCAAAAGAGTCTGTATCGTTCTTCTCGCCGTTTCCAATAGAGCGACATTTACCTATCACTGTTTACCCATTGCTACAGTATAGAAGTAATAGTTAGCAACATAATAAAAGAATGTGAGTATTAAAGCACACAGAAAAGCAGTGAGGAAGTTTAAGATGTTTCAATGCCTGGAGAAATGTATATCTCCAAGTAATGTACTCTCTGTACATGAAAAAAAATAAATAAAAATTCCTCATAAGCCAGAAAAAAACCAGTCAAACCAAAAAGGAAATTATAGGTGAAAGATTACATCTGCATTCTCCAAATAACTGAGTCCCTAATGATAAATGACAAGGAAATTCCCTTTTTTGTCTGGATCACATCTGTAAATCTTCTCCTTTTTCACAAAACAGAGCTAGAATTGGTAGTGAAGTCTTCAACCAAGAAGAAAGCAAGGATGGCAAGCCTTCTGGTGCTGTGAGTATTTAATTACTACTACAAGAGAAGTCATACAACTACGAAAGTCATGCTTGAAGAACCCCACAAGGAATCATTTTATCTCCTTTTAGATAAGTCATTCCACTGGAAGACAAGACTTCATATACCTCTGGGCAGAGGAATAAATAATCATTTGAGCAGTATTTGAGGTATTTAACTACTGTTCTCAGTAAAATGGGAAAGGCACCACTTATTTTTTGTTTCCTTTTGTTCTAAAAGAAATTTTAAAAATTAAATAATCAGAGTCTACTGCTCAAACAGGGAGGGAAATGAATAGCCTGCAGCCATGCATGGGGTCTGTGATTTGAAACAGCAGTCCTAGCACCTTTGGACCCTGCAGCTGGAATATCCTTGCCATGCCTTGGGAATTGTCCTGAGAGAAGCAGAGGTACCAGGGTCTTTGTGCATTCACACCTCACTAAAAATAGTGAGGCACCAGCCTTGAAATGTCTGAAGTAGACTACAGGCTTGGTGTAAAGACTCACCACCACACATCCTTTTTCAACTCTCTGAACCAAGGAAAGATGAAATGTCCAAGGAAACTGAAACTTGGTTTTATGTAGGCCACTAAACTAACCAAACACTTGAAGCAGAGACATGCCCATATAAAACATTTCCCTAAAGTAAGCTTTCCAGGACTTCTAATAGGACTTCAAGTGTTCTTCTATTTCAATAGAAAATTCCAAAAACATGTTACATAAGACAGCTTAAACAAAAAATGGTAAAAAACAGTAGAAGGAAGAATTCTTCCCTTCCCTGGTCTGTTTCTTTTTTAAGGCACACCTTTTCCCTCAGTCTTGTTTTCAACCCAGTAGTTTTTCAATGGCTTCCTGCATCATACCAATCCTGATGGTGAGCCAGGTCCCTTGGAAATGTCCTTCCACTGTCACCAAGCCACAGCCTTTACTATACCTATGTCCCATGTACTTCCCTGCTGTTACCAACAGTGTGGTCCCTGTGACAGCCAGAAATGTCTCTATCTACAAATGGTCATGCTGTCTTTTATGAGAGGTACAATATCTCTGCTGCACAAATAATGTCTCTGTGAGCCTGAGTGTAGCAGGCAAGAGAGGCAACTGGCACCCTTTCTTCCTCCTTTAACAGCCCAACTTTTCAGAGGAATATATATTAATCAAGGTGAAGCTAAAACAAACTAAAAAACCAATCACATGCCTCTGTCACAGTTTTCAAAAACTCATGACTGGTTCAGTGTCTGATTTAACATAAAACAATGGTACTGAATTACCAGGACCACACATATCAAAGGGAAGATACAACTAATTAGATGACATTAACAATCTCTTATAGCACGTTTAGCAACCCAGATGTATTTTCAGATAGCCTACTAAAAAATTTGTGTGCTGAACTTTAAATTCCTTAACTATCATAATATAGTCTGCAACCAAGTGATTTCTTTGACTGAACAACTGTTGGCTGCATAGGCCTTCTACCTAGTAGTATTTTTACATTTATTACAGTTTGCTGAATTCTCAATTCATCCAACCAAATTTTCTTTCTGAATCTATAAAGATACTTTTTATTCAATTATAATACAGCTTTAAAAAACAAACTGAAAAAACACCTTAAATTTGTCCAAGTCGAAGGCTTCAATACATTAAACCAGCAGCTATATTGCACTTTATCAGATAACGGTTTTCTATATAAAACATTTCTTACTGTTTCACTTCATAATTCAGAATCTGCATAATGACACTTCAATACCAATATAATTCACTGAGAGTCTCATCTAGTCCTAACAAATTAGTACAAGTAGTCAGAGATACTTCTGATAAATAGTATACACAGAAAATTATTGTTGTGAGAGACAATTAATTTGGATTCCTACTTGCAGCCATTTATCCTTCCTATTTTTCTGCAACCCCATGCATGCATTTTTCTCTAGTCAAATAAAGCCAGCTAATTCTACATACCTGTATGTTTTGTAGAAGAGACATCTCTTCAGTGGGACCTTAATCACATGTTCCTGAAGGCCCACAAAAAGGACACTCTGGGTGTGCAGGATCTGAAGGTTCCTGATGGGCTCTCGCTGACTTTTCGGCAGGAGTTCAATTTCCTCCAGCAGGCAGCTGCTTGAATTCTGGTTCACTGGGGCAAGTACTTTCTTAATAGTGCCATAGTCTGAAAAGGCAAGAGGAAAATGAGTTACTAAAAATCACAGTAGCAATTCTACTTGCTTGGTGTCAGTCAGTGAAAAAAATCTTTGTGCTGGATGTTTTCAATGAAGCCTTGAAATGCAGAATTATTTTGACTGAAGTTTCCTAAATTGATTATAGTGCAGTGAAAAGAACTTTGAAACCTTGTTTTCTTGTGACTACTGTTGTGAAGGCCATTCTGCACTAATAACTTTTTTCCTTTTTTTTTAAAAAAATGTACATTCATGCCAAGGGTTACTGATTTCAGTCTACCAGATTGCCCTACACTTTATTATATTTAAAGCAATTTTAAAAAGCATTAAATTCCATAATTTCACGAAGTTTTTTTAAAATTCTGTGTTAAAAATTATGGGGTTTAGATATGTATCAAATTCATTTAATAAAGCATATGTATATGAGTATATGCAGGTCTTGAGTCTAGGCGAATATTAATGAATGAGGCTGATCTCCTTACTTACCTTGATTTTGATCTCTGAGAAATCATAGCTTTTAGCATTCACTCTTCCCTTCTATTCTTAATGTGAATTCTCAGGAAAGTCAGTTACACATTGAAAACCAGTGTCAGAATATATTATAAGATGTATCATTCACTCCTGCAAATTTTTTAAATAATTTAAAAATATCAAAGTGCATTTGTTCTGAACACAAAGGATCACATTCTCACACTGATAAATATTTTAGGTAGCTGCAGAATTATGCAATCTTTTATGTGTCAGCAATATTAAGTATTAAGGATACAACACTGCAAACACACACAGAGATAAGCCCTGAAGTCTTGAAAGACTTTACTTTTGAATTGGTAATAACGGCATGCATGAGGAATGTTTGAGAAGGCCTGTTCTGCAGTCCAGAAAACAGTTTGTTTACCATTATTAGCACAAGGCTAGAGGTTTGGCTTAGAGTTGGCAGTGCAGGTTCTACAGGACGTATCTAGCCCTGGATTGGTGAGTACTGGTTTTATCCATGGCAGGAAACACCTGGTAGCCACATGTCTGTGTCCTCCTACACCAGCTCCACCATGGGAGCACCCGAGGCCAGGGGCTGGCGCGCCTGGTCACTGTACCCCCCAGGGTAACTGGGCCGAGGGAGGGCAACTTGATGTCCCCAAACTTTGCTTGGGAGGTGGTGAGGAACAGCAAGTAAGCAACTTTAAGAAAATACAAAAAAGCAACCTCAGATGGACTCCAAAACTAAAGAGAAGAGGGAGAACCAAGATGACAGTTACTGTTCAAATCTCCTCATTCTCCTGAGAAAGACTGAGTATTAAATCCTAAAATCCAGAGTAGTACTGGAAGGGAGAGCATACACCAAATAGCAGGGGAAGTAAATAGAAAGTTTATGTGTAAGATATAACTTTACATAATATTATGTAATTCTATTAAACAGTCAAAACTTACTAGATAAACCACAAATGATTAGTTCAGTGTATAAAATTGATTTCTCTTAGTCCATGAAAAATTTGATCATATCAAATCATTTATGCATGTTAAAATTGTCTGCTTAGCCTCTCAAGTTCTAATATAATCACTTCATGTACATTCCTGTTTGTGTTTTTCTTTCTTGTTACAAACATGCTTGACCATTTTTTAGGAAAAAAGCTTCCAGTAAATTGCAATTTTAATTTTCATTAACGTTTTTGATATTAAAAATCTAATTTGATGATCACTTTTTCTCCCAAACAACCTAAACCAGACTTATATTCAAAACCTAATTAAATTGTTGCTCCACAGTTAAGCAATAACCAGCTCAGCTGAACAATGTAACAAGCATTGTTTCCACTGATGATGATGGATGACTAGATGCAAAATCTTGATTATAATTACAGCAAGTTTTATGGTCAAAATACAGTCCTGAGATATGTTCCAAAATTTCAGTGCTTGTATGTGATCTTGTTTTGGCTGAGGGAGAATTAATTGTCTTCACACTGGCTGGTATGGGGCTGAGCACAGGGCTGATGATATGGAGATGTTTTTGTTATTGCTGAGAGGGCTTGCTCAGAGCCAAGGGCTTTTCTGCTTCTCACACTGCTATGCTAGAGAGGAAGTTTGGAGTGCTTAGGAGCTTGGGAAGACACACAGCCAAGACAGGGGACCCAAACTGACCAAAGAGAAATATATGCTGACATTACATTCAGATACAAAGTAGGAGAAGAGGGAAGAAGGGGAGTTCATTTGAAGTTTTGGCATTTGTCTTCCGAAGTCACTGTTACACCTGATGGATCCTTGCTCTCCTGGTGATGGCTGAACACCTGCCTGCCCATTGGAAGGAGTAAATTAATGCCTTGTTTTGCTTTGCTTGTGTGTGGCTTTTGTTTTTCCTATTAAACTGTCTTTATCTCAATCCACATGTTTTCTTCTGATTCTCTCCCTGATCACACTGGTGGCGGGGGGTGAGCAAGGTGCTGTGTGGTACTTAGAGGCTGGCTGGGGTTAAAACCACAACACCGTTAATTACTGACTGAAAGATGAATGATTTTCTTTTAAGCATAGAAGTTGGAAAAATCTACTAAGAAGAAGGAGCAGTGAGATCATTTTACAGATGTAAATTAATTGGTATTGCTTTATAGATCAGTCGGTGCAACTTGCTTAACTGGCAGACAACAGATTCAGTATGATTCATGGCGCATTGTATTTGGCTTGTCACAATTTTCTTGCATGAGACAAAAATCAGGTTTCCTCTAAAGACTAATATTTCTTCCTACCACTGTGATGGGTTTGGCATTCATGGACTGAATCACTTGCTGTCACCTTCCCCAAAAGAAGAAAAAACACATGACTGCAGGCCTCTCTCCCTTTCAATTTAGAAATACAGCTTTGGACAGGAGAATATGATCAAATAAAAATACTTTGTTTCTTCTGGCTCATTTATTATAACCAGCAAACTTACATTTCTTTATATTCAGGTCTATGACCTGGAGATAATGGTTGCAGCAGCATACCACCCCAGAAAGAAGTAAAATATTCTCACTTTGAGAACTGCAGCACTAATGCCTTCCCCCAGACATCTGTCATAGCTCATGTTTTTCCTTCTTATCCTGACATATAGATGCTGAATACAAGAAAGCAGGCAGGGAGCACGGAGCCTGTGTGAAACAAAGTCACACAAGCTTCTCACTCTGGCCTGCGAAAGCATAAGGAGGAATCCAAACAGTCCCTGGAGAAAGACAACAACCTTTTCAGGTGTTGTTTAGATCTACGTTGTTTACTTGCAAGAAACAGTCGAAGGGTGTAGTACCCAATCGTCCAGTGATAGTGATGTGTTGGTTTAATCACCAACGAGAGTTTTACCTCTCAGACCTTCTCATACCTGTCTATAAATGAAGATTGGGAATAATAAAACTAGCTCTCTTGGGCAACCCAGTTAAGAGACTCTGTGTTGTACTTTGCCATTCCTAATACAGTGCAACACTGACATACATTCTTCATTCCTCCTATTTCCTTCTGCCCTCTTTCATCATCTCCCAAACCATTCCTTTTTCATTTTTTGTCTAAGAGGATCAGAAATGTTGAAAGTCGCAACTGACTGAGCTTCAAATGAAGAACCAGTGCCTGAGATCCTGCAGATTTCAGGAAGAAACACTGCTCTTCTCAGGAGCAATGTGGGTCATATGCAAGCTCAACAAAAAGTAAGAGAATGTTACCTGAGATCTACTTCTGCCTCAATAAAATCCCCTGCTTCTGACTTCAATAACCTGTCTTCTCTGCCTTAAATTCCTACTGCATATGACTTTGATTTTGCAAGGACCACCTGGGAGGCCAAACTAAGGTAAGGATCTGGTTTCACATCACAGCTTTGAGACAGGCACAGATTGAATTGCTGTTATGTTCACCAGTCTATGGTACGTAGCAAGGGTGTGATATAAATGTCCTTAAATTATACTAGCATCTAACAAGGCTATATCAGGCTTTCTTACAGTGGAAAATCACAGCCAATGATTCCAGTGGTTTCAAAAGTCAGCTGTTTGCTCTAGTGTTTCCAATTTTACAAGGTGTGTAACATTATGCACAGCCTCCAGCAAAGACTGCAGAATTCCTAAAGAATTTGTAGAAGTCCCATCCTCAAAAGTGTTGTCTGTCTGGCAATTTTCACACCAGTTGCAAAGCAAGTTAGGGTGTAAAAAAAGCAAAAAAGTAAGTCCAGGACATGGCTCTTGGGAATGGAGTTTTTCAGATGTGTCATAATCTTTCAAGTGCGTATTTAATTATATATAATCAAACTAAATGTCCACTTCTGCCAAGAAGCAGCTAAGAAGAATAGTAATCAGAGAGCATCTTAATGGATGTAACTTTATTGCCATGTGTTGGAGCCCTGGGCACAGAGAATTTCATGCTTTCTTTGCTGACAGGCAAGACACACAAGAGAACACTGTGCTTGACCTGAGGCCGTGGAAAAGCCTTCCAAAATTGATAGATAAAACTGAAACTGTGAGTGTATAATTTGAATATAAGTGTGTTATATAATTTGGTGGAAAATTTAGACTTTAAGGTTTTAGAATACAGTAATATATATATGTAACAGGATGGAGGTTTTAGGGTGTTAGCTTGCCTTGTTTTTTCACCTTCTTCTTCATGGGTTATGGGTAATATTGTGTGATTGGATAGAAAAATCTGCAGTGCAGAACATGGGTGTTTGATTATTGGGTTGTAAGTAAAAAATAAATTAGTTTTTGCATTTTATAATTGGGTAGTTGTCGTGGTTTTAAACCAGTAACTAAAAAATTACTTATTTCTTGCTGTGAGATATGGATTAGAACAAGAGCAAAACAGGCTTAAAACTTAAAAGGAATAAAGACAGTTTATTAACAAACTACAAGAATAAGAACACCAGAATAAACTTTCAGAAAACCCTTTTACCTCCTACCACTTGACTATTTCTTTGTACACATGACAACATAGAGACAAAAACTTTAGAACCTTGGTGGTTAAAAACAGTCTTAATTCCTGCTAGAGTCTTTTCATTAGTCTT